ACGTGGAGTTCTCAAATCAGTACAACAAAAGCTTTCCAAAAGAAAGCATTTTTGGAGTTTTGTTCTCCTCTAAAGTCGGCACCGTCGCATTGCCTGGTTCAACAACAATAAGAAGTCGCATCAAAATTAATCTGAACACATGAAAGAGAACACTGTGATAACATAGAAGGCATAAGACGATGTAGAGAAAAGGATAGGACTTCGGTAAAGACTTTAAGAGTAGCAACATTAGGTAGATGATGAAAAATAAACAAAACATCATTTGTAGATGCCTGTACTCACCTGATATTCGTAATCACCATGGAATTTTGATGCAGTCAGCGAGAGAAGTCTTTTTGGTATTTGATTCTTCAGTGGAAACGACCATTGAGCTTGTGATACAGTTAAAATCCGTACAATTCTTTTGGCGACATACATTAAAAAATATTTTCATCCGACGTTATGACGGCAGAGCGACTAACCGTTTAACCGCGCACCTTGTGCAAAGTCTGATTCTCTGCGTCTCTTGACATTTTCATCTCTTGCCCAAGTCCTTTTTACAGGCAAATCATTGCGTGACATTCTGTTTTTGGCTGGTATTTGGTTGTTATTCTAAATGTTTTCTATCATCATGTAGACTTTATCGGTAGAGGCTTCCATTAAGTGGGAAGAAATGTCATAAATGTAGTTTTATAGGTCAGTTTCCTTTCTAGGTCATGAGCGAGGCGGATATCAGTAAGTCGCGTTATTGATTAGTGATCCAATCTGCGAAGTGTTTTCCGTGTAGATGGCAGCAAGCTATAAACAGCGGTCAGCCAACTCCTGATGTTTGTTAGGAAATGCTCAGTTCTTTTGTTTGGTTAAATATCAAGTCCTTCCACTTGATGGCTGATAACATCCTGTTTCGCCATTTCTTGTTTTCATCTCAGCTTTCCTTTCGAAGTTACCTCTCCAAATCGCTGAATTGCGAACATTGCTTCGAAGCTTTGTCGAGAAATCCCTTGCTGTTTCTCGTTTTGGCTGCGCGTTGTGCTTGTTGACGTTCTCACATAATCCGTTCGTTAAACTCCTTACGAGATGCAAAAGGAATACGATCTTTCTCTTTTCTGATTGCAACTTGCTGCGTCGGACTTACCTCAGGGCTTGTTTTTTCAATCTCCTGGCACTATGGCTGAGAAATGCAATGACGTTAACTCTTTGGGTAGCACTTCCTTCACTTTGGTGTAGAGAAGTAGCTCACTTTTCGGTTTAACTCTGTGTTATAGAGGCTTTTCAAAAATATTAGATTAATAGCGGCAGACCTTCAGACCTGATGTTCTCCACGTTCTCTCAAAAACTGATGCGGGAACGGGCGGGGAAACGTCGGCGGAAGCCTTTGAATGACATTCCTGTCCCACTCCTTCGCCTCCTTCACAACACTGTCTTATCTCGTGGTCTTATTTGATAGATTTTTTCGTTTCGCTGCAATTGGATTTGATCGAGTCGCTTATCACATCAATTATGGGCTCGCATGTATCATTGTCAGAAGAATAGTAGAAGGCTACTTAAATAGTAATCTATGAAATATCGTTTCTACTGGTGAGATATGTCTAGTTCGCGATATTTCCTCGAAGTAATATCCTTGAGCAGTTCGTAAAGTTGCCGTAAAGGTGATTGGTGAAAAATGTTTTGGGCGCATCACTTGTTATCTCCGACCGAATAGAGCAGCTGTCCCAGTACAATTCTGTCCTATCATGCCCTATTTGTCTCTGTGCGTTCGTCTGTGCGTTCGTCACACATTCATCGGTGATTCACATAACACTTTTGTTTCAGTAAGCCGCTAATGGCACATCAGAGTTCACGTTCTCGACCACGTGTTAGGCAGCCTGCAGCGCAAAGAGTTTATAGAAATTCGGTTTGTTTTATTCATTCGTTCATTCATTTCACTTACAGGTCAGCTATATAGCGCCTACGATTGCATTTGTTTATCACGCTTTCTTGAATCATAACGCTGTACTCTGGTTGAAAAACCAATGTGTTTAAATTACGAAATCACTGAACGATAACAGTTCCTGGCTTATTTTCCTCTTTTTAGCAGATTCGATATGCCCCTGGTGCTGGTGGAGAGTCAGAGATCAGCTGCTGTGTAAAATA